AATCTGATCTTGCTTGTTTTTGTTTTTCGCCAGCACTTTCTTGCAAATGGATAGGCCCAGTAATGGCAGTGAAATTGATCCTAAACCAGGTAAAAACTCACTATTTGACAGCGAAAGGGCAAATTGTACCGCAGAACTCTGCCATCCGCCAACTCAATTTTAAACTGCGGTCTCTTTAGAATAATCTATCACGTGAACCCGGCCTGTTCACATCCCCTACATCGCCGTCGCTGGTTAGCATTTAGCATCGCAGCTCGTGCACCATTTGTTCTCCGTAAGTGCCACTCACCTGACAGACATTTTGAGAGGCCTGCGTTCTTCCGGCTTAATCCCACGACGTCTCCACTTTTCTTGACAGCAGCCGCGTACATGAAAGCTCCACCACATCTCCTGCTCGGCGCCCAGATAAAGAAGTCATTAAAACGGAGGGACAGTTGAATAGCGGACGAGTGCGGGGGGGGGGGCACCTCGCGCGCTCAATACCTCTTTTGTGTCTGTGCCTTGCCTTCATTGGAGAATACGTTAATCACAGTGCGAGTTAAATTGAATATGAAAGATAAGCCGAGCAGACAGGAGCCGGGGAGGAGAGAGGAAAGAGGGAGGAGGAGAGGGTGGGGGTAAGTGTTGGTAATGTTTTGTGTTTTTGCTTGTGTCATATCTCGGGGGGGGGGCAGAGAGACGAGGAGTCGGACAAATAGAAGTCTCAGGGATTATGGTAATCCGCGTAAGGTGTGTATCTGCGGGATTATCGGCACTTTGCTCGGCCGGAACACTCCAGAGGTGTAGAGCGCGGGGAGGGATGGGGGGGAAAGAGAGAGGGATGAGATAGAGGAGAGAGATGACAGAAGTGGGGCAGAGACGCAAAGAGAGAAATGGAGAGAAAGGGATGGAGTGAGGGAGGCATAGAGAACCAGGAATGGGGTTAGAGAGAGAGAAAGAGGGAGGATGGGATGAGAGAGAGATGACGGGGGGAACGGGAACGAGACAGAGACAGGGATGGGGTTAGAGAGAGAGATGTTGGGGAGAAAGAGAGACGATGGGTTGAGGGAGAGACAGACAGATGGGGTGAGAGAGAGAGATGGAGATGATGGGGTAAACAGACAGTCAGAGGCAGCGATGGGGTGAGAGAGGGATGACGGAGAACGAGATGATGGAGAGACACACAGAGAGGTGACGGGGAAAGAGACAGAGGCAGGGATGGGGTGAAAGAAAGAAGGATAGGATCAGTGAGAGAAATAGATGTTGGGGAGAAAAAGAGATGATGGGTTGAGGGAGGGAGGGAGAGAGTGGATGGGGTGAAAGAGAGAGATGTTGTGGTGAGAGAGGGACGGGGTCAGAGAGAGATGATGGTGAAAGAGATGATGGGGTGGGGAGGAGTGAGAGATGGTGGGGTAAAAGAGAGAGAGCAGGATGAATAGATGAGAAAGAGATGATCGGGTAGGAAAGAGAGAGACGGCACAATGAATGGATGAGAGAGAGAGAGAGAGATGATGGCGAGAAAGAGACGCGATGTGGTTCGGGAGGGAGAGAGTAGATGGGGTGAGAGAGATGATGGGGTAAAGAGAAGTAGAGAGCACGATGAATGGATGAGAGAGTGAGATGATGGGGTGAGAGAGAAAGAGAGCATGATGAATTGATGAGAGGGATTGGGAGAAAGAGAGATGATAGGGTAAGAGAGAGAGAGAGAAAAAGCCAGATGAATGGATGAGAGGGAGCGAGATGATGGGAGAAAGAGAGAGAGACAAAAAGAGAGAGCACGATGAATGGATGAGAGAGATGGAGAGAAAGAGATGACGGGGTGAGGGAGAGACAGACAGATGGCGTAAGAGAGACAGAGTTCGATGAATGCATGAGAGAGAGATGATGTGATAAGACGGAGAGAAAGTGCGATTAATGGATGAGAGAGATGATGAGGTGAGGGAGAAAAAGACAGACGGGGTGAGAAGGATGATGTGGTGAGAGAGAGAGAAAGAGCACGATGAATGGATGAGAGAGAGAGAGATCATGGGGAGAAAGAGATGACGGGGTAAGACGGAGAAAGAGCGCAATGAATAGATGAGAGCGAGAAAGATGATGGGAGAGAGACGGGGAAGAGAAATGAAAGGGAAAGAGGAAGAAAAAAGAGATGAGGAAAGGTGGTGAGGAAAAAGAGAAAAATCCAGTTGAGGTAGAACGGTGCAGGCGAAAGAGAATAAGAGATTTGGAGCTGTATAAATAATCCGAGTACAGAACATGACAACAGCAGCACGTGTGTATCTCCTGTGTTCATTTCATTCACAAAGATTTAAACTTTAATCCATGAATCAAAACATGTGTAAAATCTTGAACAATGAGGCTTTAGGAGAGCGTACAGGTGCATCACAGACATATTTAGAATCACAACTCGCATGGTGTACACTCCATTTACTCTATAGAAACTGATCGGCTGTTAAATCAGCTTTCAGGGATTATTTCAAACCTAGATTTTTGCTTTATTTCATTACACTACACTCGTTTTCAATACGTGCTAAATACAAGCTCCTTCTCATTCTTAGTTTTATCCATATTCTTGCTGACGATTTAGATAGATTTTATTTGCACATATATTAAAAACAACACTGTGCAGGGAAGAACAGTCAGGAACAGACATGTTGACTTTCAGTAGTCCAGTTTCAGTAGTCGTCAAAACGTCACTTAATTTAACACTTCTGTGATTCTGTATTGATTGTCCAAAACATCTTAACAGTGCTTATATTACGCTATTTTCTTCCTTTTTTTTTATTTTTATTTTTTTATTAGTTTATTTTTTTAATCTCACAAATTGAAAAATACAGTCTCACAGGATTTTTGTTAGATAGTAATATCCTCGTACCTGTACCATAAGTATACACATATTCTCACCTACATTAGGGTCCAGTCAAGTGGTAATGGAGGGAAACGGGCAGATTTTTTACATTCAAATAGCTCTTATTCAGAAACTAGAGGGACTATTGAAATAAGTAAAGTATCAGAATGTAGGAAAGAGTTAACACAAGGTAAAGTTAAACCTGTGATATTCTTTCAAGTTGTTGACAAAAAATTTAAAAACTCATGTCGATAACAGAGGGAATGAAATATGCAGCACTTTTCGGGCAATAAATACAAACAGTGATAACTACCAGTTCTCACTTACATATCCTTAACAAACTGGTTTGAATATTTGCTTCATATAGTTTTCTACCATATGGTACAAGATTAGGTTGAAAAACCTCTTACTTTTTGAGTAATGAGATTTTTTATTAAGAAAGGTCATGGTAACGGAGGAAAAGTAACGGAGGGAAAACTGTGCAAGCAACTAGAAGGTGCATGATTTTACATCATTTGTCAACTTTTTTTCTTCTGAATACTTAACTATTACTTCAAAATGAAAGGAAACTATTTCTATAAAATATATTCAGTCCTTCCAAGTAAAATTTTTATCATTTTAAATACATTTTTTTTTTTTTATCATGTACCTTCATCAACAGTTCAAAGATCAAATAACACAAGATATGATGAAATACATACATTTATTTACATGATTTGCAGGTCTTTGAAATTTGGGAAATAATTTTTGTTCCATGTTTCATACATGGTCTGTTTAAAACGTATGTAACTTTAGAACCAAAAATGGTACAGAAAAAAGGTAAACGGTTTCATAAACTAGAGTACATATGTATCTGTTCAATACATTTTTATATCAGATGTATTAACTTGAATTTTTGGCCTTTCTGTTTACTTCTGCTTGACTAGGCCCAGTTAACATTTACCTACATACTTTTTTTTTTTTTTTTTATAAAATTAAATAAACCAGATTTAACATTGTAGCTTAGAACCAGGGTGTGCTTTAAAACGTTATTATATACATTACTATACATTACACCAAAGACTTATTTCAAACAGACTGCCAATTTTCAGACTCTATACAAAGTCAGACCATGTTTGTCTAATATAATTCAACCATCCCCTCCATAAATTTGCAAATTAGTCTTTCTCCAGCCTAACTGACGCCGTCACTTTCTCCATATTGTATATATTAAGCATTACATCCACCCACTTTTCTACTTTAGGTATTTGATCCGTCCGCCATTTTTTGGTGATTGCCTTTTTGCTAGACAACAGCATCATTTTTATTACATTATAATCATTCCTTCTAGTTAACATTATGCTATTTTCTGATCTATGTTATGATGTTGTTTCCTCATCAAAAACATACTCGGAGTTGTGTTTAATTTAGTTCTCAAACAGAAAACTCGGTTACACTTTATGATGTCATGTGGTAATACAGGAAGTGCTCCAATGTGTTTTTAAACTCCATACACGTTCACTAGAATCATTTGGATCATTTCAGCCCTGGAAATTCTACGAGTGAACTAAAAATGTTATCACAAGGTGGAACAGAGCATTTTAACCTTTGGAGACGTAGACAGACTAATAATAAATGCGTATTCAAACCTGCAAATGAAACAATCCCAACTACACATATGTTTTTGACGACATAACAGCATTATAATTTGACTTAAAGCACACAAGAGTCAATTTTGGTTAATATAGGACTTTAAAACCTCAGCTTAAAACACACAAACACTACACTATAGTTACAATATGTTCTCAAAAAACTATATCAACTACTTTCTATATACTGCACATGTACACTTCTTGTCTACAGTGAGTGAATCGGAGCCTAAACAGCTGGCGGTGTGACATTGCTCAGAAACATCATATCTAAATGAGTGTGTCTCTCTCGTCGGAGCATCTCGTGTTCAATATTTCCACTAAAAACATTGTGTCTTTTGCGTGCACCAGATGTTCAAATGGCCCGGAGTACAGAATCTACCGTGCGCACTCTTGTATGGAGATGTATAAGGAAGCGGAGGGGGTCACCGAGCAGATCACTGTCGGAAGTGTCAGCGTTTTTGCGCAGGGAAAATTATCATGTTTTTGTGAGTTTCCTGAGTGATAGAGTTTAAAATGTAGTTTTTTCTTTTCTTTTTTTTTTTCAGGGATACCACAGGCCAAACCACTACATCGCAACACAAGGTAAGAACAAGTTTATTCCGAATATTCAACTCCACTTGTATTCAAACTGCTGTGGGAATTATTACATATTGGCAGACACTGTTGGGCAAGTTACTTTAAAACTGTAATGTGTTATTTATTACTTATTACTGTCATTTCAAAGTAATTCGTTACATTACAATATTACTGCATTTAAAATGTAAGGCATTACATTACTATTGCATTACTTTAAGTTACTCTCACCAAAATAACTGCGAAAAAGCTGAACTTTTGAGCCGTATATGGACTGAACCAGGACTAAACCAGGTCTAAACCAGGACTAAACCAGAGCTGAACCAGGACTAAACCAGGACTATAACAGGAATAACCTCAGACTGATTCCAGGACTGAAGAGGAGGACAAACCAGAACTAAAATAGGACTAAAACAGGACTCACTGTCAGGACGGGCTCGAAGGTGACCGCAGGAGAAAGGAGCGGCTTTGCTCCGCACCTCATGGAGGTAAGAGCGGCTGTCGCCCGATCGCTCTTTATGGACCCTGCTGCGGGGCTCACGGTCCTGATTTCAGCAAATATTTGCGGGTACAAGACCCGGTGCAAGACTCTGCTACAGCGCGTAACTTCTACCTTCCTTCAGCGTGTCCAGAAGTCCAACTTTTTGTGCGATGGTTTGCATTGTCCTCTGTCGGTGTGAGCACAGGAGACTTTGTCAGTGCAGAACGTTTTGTCGATGTTGTGGATTTTGTCGGAGAGAAAACTTGCAGACATACAGCACTTCAGAATCACACTGCTAGAGATTGAACATGCATTTAAATTTGGCAGCTGAACACATTCTGTACTGCAGAGGAGACAGGAGTCCCTTAACCGATCAGGACACAGCGGGAGGAATGCAATACGTGTTCATACACTAAAAACAAAAGGCATGCAAAATTGCACAAAAAATAAATAAAAATTTGCGAAACAGCGAGACCGCGAAAAGTGAACCGCGTTAGAGCGAGGGACGACTGTAAACCAGGTCTAAACCAGAAGTGACCCAGGTCTAAACCAGGTCTAAACCAGGTCTAGACAGCGTAGAGTTCTGGGTCGGTCCTTTCACCCGCGGTTAACTGAAGGTTTATCCGGCCGCGTCTCCAGCATTTCACCGCTCCTGATTTCACGGTGATTTTAGCGAATTTCTATGAAGAAAAACCCACCACCTCAATCCAGGTTAAAAAAGCATTGTAACACGCGTTAATCACATTTGTACCGAATAAAATATTAAATTTTTTCCCCTGTAATGCCTTACATGACTGCGTTACAGCAAAAATCAACGCATTACTGTAATACATTACTTTTATAATATATTACTCCCAATACTGTTGGCAGACATGCACACTCACTAGGACTTTAGAACCGTGCCCAAGCACAGAGCCCCCCTAAAGCGAGGTACATTTGTCCTTTGTGAGTGCAATCGAACGATGCTCAGGCGTGGCATGGATGGGACTTGGGCCCAGTTGGATGAAGTGGGCCAAAGCACGGCGTGGTTGCTCATGTATGCACACACGCACAACTTTACTGTACACTGATCTTACACATACAAGGAAAACAGTGAATAAAATCTGCTCCAAAACACACGGCAAATCTGCACTTACCTTCAATGAGGACTGTGACAGATGTTTAGCTGCGTCTGGTCTCTGGCTGTCATCACTGCTCCTCACGTATCATAAAAGGACTCACACCAGCCTCACTATTTAATAGATATTTCTACCGCTGGACTTATTTTCTCCACTAATAACGATAGCACATGTAAACAGAGTGTGTGATGATGTCATCGGGCCGTGGCCTGGTTCGGCTGTGCACATGTGAGTGCAGGACATAGAACCCTACACACTAATGCTTGAACACGGCACGGTTCCAAAGTCCTAGTGTGAGTGTGTCCATAGTCTTAATTACTCACCATTTTATCCATATTTTTGCTGGTCATTTGGTAATTTCTTGGTTAATTTACTTAGTTGTAAATGGTGGAACACAACAAAGTAAACGTAAAAAAAAAATACTGTACTTAAGTAAAAATTGTAGGTATCTGTACTTTACTTAAGTACATTAAGTGTATTAACGACATTAAATGGATCAAACGACAGTATGTTTTTGAGGAGATTACAGCTTTATGATGTGACCTGAAGCTCACAAAAGTCAGTTTTGCGTAATTTAGGACTTTTAATCCTCATCTTTAAACACACACTACACTATAATAAAATAAAATAAGAAAGATATCGTCCAATTTACTATATCTTCGCTGTATATGTTGTCGAACAATGATTACATAACATGGCCAGGTACAAGTACATGGCCAAGTACACAAGAAAAGTACTTCCACATAAGAAGAAAGTAAAGGTGAAAAGTCTTTGAATAAAACTGCAGACACTAGCCAGTCAAAAGTTTGGACACACGCTTTTTTCATGTGTGTTTCTTTACTTTTGTGACAATTACAACAAAATGTAGAAAGTAAAAAAAAAACTAAACTTTGACTTAGTGTATTTTAAATTAATTTCACATTTTTTAAGTTTATGTTGTATGATTTTTTTTTAAATAAATATAATTAAAAGAAGAAAATCTCATAGCAGTTGATAATATACAGATTTATCTCCTTTTGATGGAAATTTCAAAACAGTAAATGTACAAATATTAGACATTTATAGTTTTAAATGAATCTGATCTGTGCTGCCCTGATCGAGAATGAATGAACTTCTACTATACTTTTTGTACTTGCGTTGTTCCTGATTGTTCTTCCCCTTAACAAAAACAGATGATCTTTTTAAAACTCTTCATGAATGTGGAAGGCGCCTCGTGTAGGTGGGAGGGTGAGCTTCCATGTGCACTCGCTGAGGAGGAGGAGGAGGAAGTTATACTAGACAAACCTCCCATTGTTCTAATGTGTTTTGGAGCATCTCAGTTTGGGATTTTTCTAAACGATTCTCATAGTAAATGCCAGTATGATTTTTATGGGCAAGAAGTTTGGTATAACTGTATTTTATCACAGTTTACACCCTGTTATTTTGCTTTACTTTATTGAAAAGTGGTACTACTCGGTTACATTTAGGGTTTGTCAAAAGTCTGAACTCGTCAAATCTCAGAATCTCAGCAGGGCCGGGCCTGGTTAAGGCAAGGCAAGGCAAGGCAAGGCAAGTTTATTTGTATAGCACAATTCGTACACAAAGTAATTCAAAGTGCTTTACAGAATAAGAAATACATTAAAATCATAATAAAAACAAATCAAAACATAAATAATCATGAAGATTAAAATTAAAAAAGAGAGACATAAATTGGAGAGAAAGAGTGCGGAATGAAAACCTTTCAGTTATATGCACAGTTAAACAGAAATGTTTTGAGTCTGGATTTAAACAGCGTCACAGAAGAGTCTGTCTCACATGTTCAGGAAGACTGTTCCAGGTTTTAGCTGCATGGAACCTGAAACGCTGACTCCCCTTGTTTAGTTCTGACTCTGGGCACCAGCAGGAGGCCGGTCCCTGAGGTCCTCAGAGTGCGAGATGGTTCATATGACACTAACATGTCACAGATGTACTTTGGTGCTCGGCCATGGAGAGACTTGTACACAAGCAGAGCTGCTTTAAAGTCTATTCTCTGAGGCACAGGAAGCCAGAGCAGAGACCTGAGACACAGGACTTATGTGCTCGTACTTCCTAGTTCGAGTAAGGACCCGAGCTGCAGCGTTCTGGATGTTCTGCAGCGTCTCACAGCTCGTTTGGAGAGACCAGTGAGCAGAACATTACAGTAGTCTAACCTACTGGAGACAAATGCATGGATAAGTTTCTCCAAGTCTGATTTAGACAGTAAACCTTTGATTTTTGCTATGTTTTTTAGATGGTAAAAAGGCTGCAGATGTTATTGATTTTATGTGACTGTTAAAGTTCAAGTCTGAGTCCATTATTACCCCTAGATTTCTTGCCTGATTTGAAGGTTTTAGAGAGAGAGACTGGAGGTGACTGCTGACACTGTCCCTTTGTTTCTGTGGACCAAACACTATGACTTCAGTCTTGTCAGAGTTTAGCTGGAGAAAGTTGTTTTGCATCCACACACTGATCTGTTGGATGCAGTGACCAAGTGACTCCACTGGTCCATAGTCTCCTGCTGCCAGAGAGACGTAGATCTGAGTGTCATCTGCATAATTGTGGTACGACACGTTATTGCTGCTTATTAACTGGCCTAATGGCAGCATGTAGAGATTGAACAACAGGGGGCCCAGGATTGACCCCTGAGGCACCCCACAGGTCAGGGCCATGTCATCTGAGACACAGTTTCCAATTTCAACAAAATACTTCCTGTCTTCTAGATAGGACTTGAACCAGTTTAGTACAGTACCAGAGATGCCCACCCAGTCCTCTAGTCTCTGTAAGAGGATCCCATGATCGACAGTGTCAAAAGCAGCACTCAGATCTAACAGGATCAAGACTGAGACTTTGCCTGCATCAGTGTTCAGGCGGATGTCATTTGTCACCTTGATAAGAGCAGTCTCAGTGCTGTGGTGGGCTCTAAAACCTGACTGGAAAACATCAAAGGAGTTGTTCATTTGGAGAAAGTTCGTAAGCTGTTGGTAAACAGCTTTTTCAAGGACTTTGCCAAAAAAAACGGCAGATTTGAGATGGGTCTGAAATTGTTCAGTACTGTGGCATCAAGACTGCTCTTCTTTAGGAGAGGCTTAATGACCGCAGTTTTCAACGCATTTGGGAATGTTCCAGATTGAAGTGACATGTTAACTATGTGAGTGAGTGGTGAAAGTAAACTGTTGAGGACAGACTTTAGAAATCTAGTGGGTAACATGTCCAGGCAGCAAGTAGATGAACTCAGACTGGTAACGATCTCTAAAACAGTTTTGTCAGTTACAGGTGCAAAGTGATTCAGCTCTAAGTGTCTCTGTGGCTGCATGCTTGTTATTTGTGTTGTGGAATTGATGGCATTTTTGATGCCCTGAACTTTGTCATTAAAGAAAACTGCAAACTCATTACATTTAGATGTGGAAATTAGT